CAACCGCAAGTTTGGGGGGAAATCCTAGAGTTGGAGGTTAAAGCCCTGAAGATAATTGATTCTGGAGTTCCCTGACCTCAACAGAGGTAAGTTGAGTTTCAAAACAGAAACGTGACAGACTTACTGGTCTCTCAGAGATTGAAGGAACCCCCAACACTATGGCCCTAAGACACCCTTCTGACCTGGAGCTGAAGCCATTCCTGAAGACCACCTTCCAGCTAAACAATAGACAAGCCCATAAAATAAACGTGCTCCTTAGAACAATCAATTATATGAGATCAAAAGGGCAACATTTGCCCAAAAGCAAAGATGAGAAGGCAAAAAGAAGTAGAAACTCAGGATGAAAGGAAACAGGGAACCTAGGGTGGAAATGGGGAGAGTGCTGACACCAAGGCCATGAAACTCTTTATGTATAAACTATCGAATGGAAGTTTAATTTGCTCCGAAAACTTTCACCTAAAGCACACACACGCACATACACACATACACACACAAAAGAGCTCTTCTTTGGAAGAACTGAGTAAGAAAGTTGTGTCTAACCTGAAAAACAAATATTGTATTAGGCTGCTTGGTGCACAGGACAACAACCTAGGCTAGGCTGCTAAAGACAAAGGTTCAGTCTCTGTCTTTGACACATGGAGGATGTGATCGTGAATTTCATGAGTTACTCCACCTCTTTGTACTTATTTTCTGATGTTGAAATGGATATAATAATCTATGCCCTCTATTACACTAGAAACCCAAACCCGTTGTGTTGAGTCGATTCCGACTCATAGCAACCCTATAGGACAGAGTAGAACTTCCCCATAGGGTTTCCAAGCAGCCAATAGATTCGAACTGCTGACCTTTTGGTTAGCAGCTGAAGTCTAGAGGAGAAGAGAAAATTTAAGATGCACTGAACTCTCACTATGTACCCAGGCTGTTCTGTGGTTGTTACTGCTGTGGAGTTGTTAACGTGCCCCTGAATCATGGCAACCCCATGCACAGTGGAATGAAACACTACCCAGTCCTGCATCATCCCTATGATTGGCTGAAGAACGACCATTGTGATCTATAGGGTTTTCAGTGGCTGATTTTCAGAATTGATCATCAGGCTTTTCTTCCTAGTCCACTTAGTCTAGAAGCTCTGCTGAAACCTATTCAGCCTCAGGGCAACACGCAAGCCTCCACATAGCTGTGCATGAGGTACATTGGCTGGGAATTGAACCCAGGTCTCCCACATGGAAGGTTCAAAGATGATGGCAGGCATCTTGCTTGATTTTGGGGTTTTCTTACCCACTAAACCAAATAGTCACTGTAAAGAAGTTCCTGACCAGGATTGATTCTGCCAGCAGCTTTTCTTTCCCCCAGAGTTACTCATCTTTTCTTTCCTGTTTGAAGCCAGGCTTGCTGAATTTGAATTTCAAAAGATATGACTGGGTGGAGGGCCAGAGGCCATCTTGTGACCTGATATCTGTTGACATCAGTAAAAGGGAGAGGGCAGGGTTTAATACAATCATGTTAAGATTAGCCAATGGTTGATATTCTATATTTCTCCCGCTTCTTCTTTTTTTATTGGAAACCCTGGTGGTGTAGTGGTTAAGAGCTATGGCTGCTAACCAAAAGGTCAGCAGTTCAAATCCACCAGGCACTCCTTGGGAACCCTATGGGGCAGTCCTACTCTGTCCTACAGGGTCACTATGAGTCGGAATCAACTCGAGGGCAGTATCTTCTTTTTATGGAGCCCTGGTGGCACAGTGGTTAAGAGCTCAGCTGCTAACTAAAAGGTCCACAGTTCGAATCCACCAGCCACTCCTTGGAAACCCTATGGGGCAGTTCTATTCTGTCCTATAGGGTCACTATGAGTCGGAACTTGACTCCATGGCAACTGGTTGGGTTTGGTTTGGCTTCTCTTTACAATCCTCGTTGTACCTAGCTTTTTCAAGCCATGTGCTTTTTTGGGAATCAAAATGGTCTCCTTATAGGCATATAGAATAATTGTTCAGAATAAACCTATGTTCAAATTTTCGCAGAGTTTTGATTATTTTTAACAAAGGTAAGCATGCTACCACTGAACTAAGACTGTTCTAGGCCCTTACAGTCAATTACCTAATTTAATCTTTGCAGTAGGGAAAGAGATTGGTAGTTTCATTTAACAAATAAGGAAACAGGAGAGTTAAGTGACTTGCTTGCCCAGTAAAGCAGAATTTGAACTCAGGTTTGTCAAGACCTGGGCTATTTCCAGCAAGTCAATGTCTCAAAGGAGATTACTCATTACCATCGACTTGATTCCGACTCATAGTGACCCCATAGGGCAGAGCAGAACTGCCCCAGAGGGTTTCCAAGGAGCAGCTGGTGGATTCGAACCGCCCATCTTTTGGTTAGTAGCGCAGCTCTTAACCACTGTGCCACCAGGGCTCTCAAAGGAGATTATATGCGTGAAAGTGTTTTGTAAACTATAAAGTGCTATAAAGTACAAGGCCTCATAGTCCAGAATTAATGCCGACATTTAAGTTATCCAGGAATGACACTCTGATGGGGGAGGAATGGGCTTTTTCAGGGAGCCTCCTTTGTTCAGCTGCCCACTCAGTCCTTAGTTAATGCTTATGACTAAGCAGGCAAGTGATAGTTTTTTGAAGTGATTGTTGAAACAACGGCAGTGTGGTGTAGTGAAAACAACACTGGGCTAAGACTCATGAGACTTTCTAGTTCCAGCTACACCCCTGAAACATTAACCTTGATCTTGAGAAGCCACTCGCCCTTTCATCTGTAAAATGAGGGGTTAGGTCAGAGGTGATTGCCAAGGTCCCTTTCCCTACGGCACTTCAGTGACTCAGGGAGTGGAAAGCACCTGGGGAGCCCATTCTAACCTCAGGCACTTCTGCTGTCCTTCCCACTGAAAGAGAGCCAGCCCACATCTAAGCCTGAGAGGTCTGAGGCACGAAGGGAGTTCCTTCCTAAGTGGCTGCAGCCTGTGAGGGCTCGGACAACTGGAACCATAATGTATACCACTTCACAAACGCATACCAGCTGTAGCTCCAAGCAGGGATGCTAAGGCAGTGAGGTAGTGACTGAGTACTTTTTGTTGTTAGCAGCCTGCCCCATGATGTTACACCCTTCAAGGGTAGGCACAGACCATAGACTAGGGCTAGGAGAAGGGGCATAAAATAGGTTACAGGAAAAAAACTGAAGTCCTGGATCTAGCTATTTGCTACTTTTGCTATTTTTCTTGTGGTTGTTGTCAGCTGCCATACAGTTGCCCCGAACTCATGGCGACCCCATATGTTACAGAGTAGAGTTGCTCCATAGGGTTTTCTTGACTGTAATCTTTATGGAAGCAGATCGCCAGATCTTTTCTTCTGCAGAGCTGATGGGTGTGTTCGAACTGCCAACCTTTTGGTTAGCAGCTGATCACAAACTGCTTCTGCCACCCAGGGTCCTTGATATGCTGGAGTCCCTGGGTGGTGCAAACTGTTAACATGTTTGGCTGCCAACCAGGTTTGAGTCCATCCAGAGGTGCCTTGGAAGAAAGGTCTGGCGATTTACTTTTGAAAAAACAGCCATTGAGAACCCTATGGAGCACAGTTCTACTCTGACACACTAGGCCGGCATGTTGAGGACCACTGGTACGTGATATGCCAACCACTCCCTCCTACATGCCTTATTTCAGTATCTATTGCAGCACTGGTTTTCCAGTAATTGCAGTAACTTCTTTACTTGTAGACTCCCCTGCTCAGTGAGTTAACACAGCTAGATTTACAGAAGTGAACATGTGAAAAAGAGGAGATAAGTATAAAGGAGACACATGGCTAGTTTTTACAGCTGACTGGAAATAAATGTTTTTTAAAGCAAGTGACCGGTAAACATCTTAGGAAAACCTGCACACAGCCTGAGCGTAGGGCTCACTACCGACTGGTTGTAATTATTAGGGAAAGTTATTAAACTCTCTCAGAGCTACCATACTTTAGGATTAAGCAATTTGCCCAAGAGCTAAATGGGAATACTACCATCTACTTCAGAGTAGGGCTGGGGTTCAAAGGAGATAAGCGCTTGTGAAACTAAAGAGTTTTACTTCTCCACTGCCAAGCATACTTATTCAGAGATAACCAAACACTACCCCCACCCACCCCACCCCAGCAGCTAGTTCTAGCCTCCTCCCTCTGGTCCACCTTTCTGCACTTTGAAGTAAGGACATCTCAGAAAATAACCAGAATGGCAATATGAAATACCTGCTCCTGCAAAAGGGTTAGAATTTGAAATGAAAAAATCTGAGTCATGGGAAATTAGAGGAGACCAAAGAGGTATAAAATCCGGGGCAAGTTTTCACAAACTCCATCTTTTGGTTTGTGTCTTTTCCATATTTTATTAAATTCTTTAAAAAAAAATCCCAGCAACATTATCAAAGACAACATATGTACAAACATTTTACAAAAGAAAACATTACTAATATCAGCCGTAATAAGGGTGAGCTGAAGAATAGATGCCGAGTTTCTGCGTCAAAGTCTGCCCTCAAGTCTAAATTGTGTTCAGGCAGCTGAAACAGGATTCTTTCCTGGTGACAAGCATATGTGGTGGGTAATACAAACGATGGTAAACGAGGCTACTACAGAGGCCCAATTAACAAACTCCTCTTTCCATCAGGAAGGCCATCATACAAGCGGAGCTAATCGAGTATCCTAAGTCCAAGATAGTAAAAACGCGGTTTCCCATCTGTACCCGATGAAACCTTCAAAATCGATTCCATCGCTTGCAGACAATGCTTGGGTTGTCATCCACTTGTTTCTCATTCATAACCGACACCATCCCTTCTTTAACTCTCAAAGTCCCGTTTCTTGTTGGACCGAAAGGGAGGAAATTTTACAAATGTTTCTAAACAGGATTTATTAAACTTGGTGGTGGGGAGGGCAAGAGATTTGGGAGAAGAAATATCTCCTTTGGGCCAAAATCAAGAAGCGTTACTCACTTTGATCTGGGCCGATCTTGAAATCCGATACCCCACCTCACCCCGTCCCGCCGGGTACCTACAAGCTCGGTTCCTTATTCAACTCCCCCAGTTCCTTTATCTCCACCTTCTTGTACTTCCCCGACTTCCTCCGGTTACTCATCACCAGGACGACCACTCCGGCGACGAGGGCAACCACGACCACCACGATGACGGCGATGAGGCCGGCCGTGAGGCGCTTCATGGAGAACCGCGGGGGCTTCTCGTCCAGGTAGTAGATGAGGGTCCGCTCCACTACCAGGGGCTCGCCGCGCACGCGCACGTCGAAGGTACCGGGGCCAGAGAAGAGCGACTCACCCTTGACGTCCCTCTCGAAGTAGTAGGCGGCGTCGGCGATGTCCACGTCTCCAGGGGCCTTCTGCGACGCGTTCTGCCGCAGCTCGATCTGGATGGTGGGCTCCTCGTAGTGCACGGCCGCCACGAACCTGGGCTGCAGCAGGTAGCGCTCGCGGAAGAGCCGCCGCAGCTCGGCATCCAGGGCCGTGTGGTTGAAGGCGCGAGCGCCCGGGCGGTGGCGCAGTTCGATGAGGATGTGGTGCGTGCGCACCACCTCGTCGCAAAGCAGGTTCTGGTCGCCCTTGTCCGTGCGGCGCACGCCCACCGAGTTCACGCACCAACACACCGACGTCTGGTTGCACTGGCGGGCCTTGAAGCGGCCCTCTCGGTCGCACTCGGGGTCATACAGGCCGTCGTTGTCCACGATCGCGTGCTCGCTCGGCCGCACCAGCCCGCGGCCCCCCTTGGGGCGTTGCATGCGCGCCTTGAGCAGCAGGCACTTCGACGTCAGCGTGGAGCAGTTGACCTCGTGATTGGTGCCCATCGCCTGGCACCGGCAGCGGCCGCTCTGGCTGTCCCAGCTGCACACGGTCATCTTGTTGGTGGGGCACGTACAGCTGTCCTGCGCGGCCGTGCGGCCGGTCGCCGCTGCCAGTAGCAGCAGCAGCGGCAGTGCAAGGACCGGGCCCCGGTCCATGATGGGGCGGAGAGGCGCGGACGGGACGCGGGCGGACGAGGCGCGAGGGCTCGGCTGGGCTCCGGCTCCGCGGTCTAGGACTGTCTCCTGGCGTCTGCCGCCCGGCCGCTCCCGCCTTCTCTTATACTCCGCCTGACCTGCTCGGCCGGTTCGGCCGCCGACTCGAGCCTGGTATTTGGGTGACACATCCTGCCGCCCCCTCCCCCCTGTCCCTACGGAAGGCTGAGCCGGCCCTGCGCCGCCCGCAATAGAATCCGGGGAGCGGAGGCTGGTCCCGCCCGTGCCGAAAGCCAGGGAGAGGAAAACCGATACTCACCTGCGGACTGTGGGGAACCACCCCCGGCCCGCCTGGCCACGCCTGGGGAGGGACCCGCCCTCGGCACAGTCTCCCGCTGAGGACCTCAGGCCTCCAGCAGCGCTCTGTGGCAGGAATTCTCAGTAGTTTCTTTGAAAAGTACGGTTGGTTCGGGACAGTCGCTTTTTTTCAGTTTTTCCTTCTTTTTTTTTTTCCCCTCTCTTTTTCCTAATCTCTCTCCCTCCCATAGGGGTCCCTGGGTGGCGCAAAATGTTTGCTCTGGCTACTAACCAAGAGAGGTGGGCATTCAAACCTACTCAGCGGCACTGCAGAAGAGAGGCCTGGCGATCTGCTTTCGTAAAGATTACAGCCAAGAAAACCCTGTAGAGCAGTTTTCTCCACAGCAAGAGTTTAGTTCTTGGTTTTATACCTCCCCTCAAGTTCTTTCCCTCCGTCTCTTCTTTCTCCAGTTTCCATAATAGCAAACATTTATATAGTTTACATTTCATAAACATCATCTTATCCTTATGGCAGTCCTGACAAGTATGAACTACCTATCAGATCCATTTTATAGGTGGTGCATCTAAGAGTTAGAGACAGACCCAAGATCACCCAGAGGGGAAAGCTATTAAGTGAGTTTATTTCCTCAGATTCCTGGGAGGGGTCTTTGGTACCCTGCCTGGCTTATTTGGGACCTTAAATAAATGTTTGCGGGAACAAAGTGGTGCAGAATCTGAAGAAAGGGTAGGGAAGCAGTTCTGTCACCATGTTATGGGTAAAACCTAGGTGTCCTTGTGTCCAATGTATTAAATTTTCTGTTAATCACTTTTTCTCTCTCCTTCACACATGCACACAATGTCATTGCTGTCCAGTTGATTCCAGCTCATAGCAACCCTATATAGGACAGACTAGAACCGCCCCGGTAGGGTTTCCAAGGCTGTAAATCTTTATGGAAGCAGATTGCCACACCTTTCTCCCACGGAGCAGGTGGTGGGTTTGAACTGCCGACCTTTTGCTTAGTAGCTGAATGCTTTAACCACTGTGCCACCAGGGCTCCTTATACACACACAAACACATAATATTTATGTATATATTCAGTACAAGGATAGGAAAAAGAACAAATTCTTTAAAAGAACCAGCAAGATTATGAATTGTTTTTACAATTTGCTTCTAAAAGCTCACATCATTGCTTGTTTTTTTGTGTCCCATGAAGTAGCTGAACCACTTCAAATAAAGAAAGAATGGGATCTGTGAGAAATTGCTTGTCTGCCACTGTGTGGCTACTTTAATGGGATGGTGGTATTGCAATCTTTTTTTAAACCATTGAGAAAGTGGGGTTTCAAAGCTGTGATAAAATTAGCAATAATTAGCAAAGTATAATTATTCCCAACTTCTCCTTCAAAGCGCATTTTATATGTTCAGCATTTAATGAGCACCAGCAGTAGTAGGAGGTGTGGTTTAGCCCATGAAAGCCAGCCCAGCCTCTGCCCCATTAATTTTCAAGCAATTCCTGAGGCAGGTAGATGGAAATACCATTATTCTGTCTTTACAGGTAGATGAAGCTGAGACATGTGAGGGACAATTTCTTACCTACAAGCACTAGGTGTTGTGATACTCCTCTGCTCTGTTCCCACTGTCTCCACTCAGGCCCTCTTTGGACCAATAGCCTACTCAGGCCCTCTTTGGACCAATAGCCTACTCAGGCTCGTTTTTCTTTTCCTTTTTTCAACACCCAATCCACCCTGCTTCAGAGTAGAATTTCTAAATCACAAATCTGTGCCCATCTCTCTGCTAAACAGCCTTCAAGGGGGGCTCTTGACTCTCAGGATAAAATTCATACTCCTTAATTAGTACGTAAGACCGTTCACGTATGACCTTGGACAAGCTACTTAACTTCTCTGTGCCTTAGTTTCCTCATCTGTAAAATGGATGATATTATAAATATAATAATGGTACCTACCTTACAAGGCAGATGTGAGAATTAATGTAGATACACCAGTTAGAACAGTACCTAGCAGTATCTACGCATAGTAAGAAGTGGGTAGATGTTTGCTGCTGTCGTCATTGTCTTGCTCCTGTCAAACTTTTCCAGCCTTCCTCTTGTTTTCAAGCCTTTGTAAAGTCATCTACCTGGAGTGTCCTTTTCTTCACCTATTTAGTGCATAATTGTGTTTTCCTACTCTACTCTTATTATGTCACCTCCAGAAGCCTTCTCTGATAAAGTCCCTTCCTGTTGTACTAAGTGGGATACTCCCTCTCTGTGCTTTCCTAGTTCTCTGTACATACCCGAACAGCAACCACTAACTTGTCTGGGCTTGTCCTCCTATCTATAAAATGGGGACAGTAGTGTCTATTTCATAGGTTATTCTGTGAATCAAATCTAAATTGATGAGATAATAGATGTCCAAGCTTTAATAAACTGTAAGACAATGTAAAATTGTTAGGTTGCATTTTTACTTTTAAAATATCTATCCCGTTTTCTCACTTTTAAAGCTACTGACCATGTAGCCATCATCCTCTACAACTGACCGGAAAATAAAGCAAAAACAAAACCAGTTGCCGGAGAGTTAATTCCAACTCATGGCGACCTCACATGTGTCAGAGTAGAAGTGTGCTCCATAGGGTTTTCAGTAGCTGTGACCTTTTGGAAGTAGATTGCCGGGGCTGTCTTCTGAGGTGCCTCAGGGTGGATTCGACCCTCCAACCCTTCTGTTAGTAGTCAAGTGCTTAATCATTTGTACTACCCACGGAGCGCCACCCACTAGGTCCCAGACTGGGAAGAGGAAAGCTGATGGGGGAAAGTTCTCAGGTCTAAGGAAGGTGTTTGATGATGTTGTTGACTGCTTAGCTAGGACAGCCCCAGATGGCTGTACTTTATTCAGTCCGGCCAGTGCCCTGGAGTCTCCAAACCTCTGCCTCATCCATTCATGTTAGGTGCTGGGAGAACAAGGATAGAAGGAGCATGGGGCTAGAAAGTTACCAGCCTGGCCTCTATATCCTCTGTGACAAGAGAGAGTGAACCAAAAAGGATCTTAGGGACCTCTCCACCAACAAGCCCCAGCTCCCACTTCCTTAAATTCTGTGGCTCTGCAAGAGTTTCACCAACAGGCACTCAAACTCTACGATGAACTCATTAAGTAAACACAGACACAGCTCTGATTCTCCCTTGTCTCTTGATCTGTTTCCTGCCTAGGTCTACAAAATATCACACGTCGGCTTTATCACTGTATTTTTTTGTTAATTTTAAAATATTTAACAAAATCATTCCATGAACTCAAGTTTGCCAAGTGTATATAAGGGGCAGGAACAACATCTGAACGTTGTTGCCCTCCTTAAACCAAACCAAACCTGGTCAAGTCGATTCTGACTCATAGCGACGCTATAGCCCCAGCACTGGCATATATTACTGGTACCAGTTCTGTAGAGTTCTTACACATGTTGACGCATGTGTGTCAGAGAAGAACTATGCTCCATAGGGCTTTCAATGGCTGAGTTTTTGATAGTAGATCACTAAGCATTCCTTCTGATGGATTTTCGGTTAACAGATGAGCTCATTAACCATTTGCACCACCCAGAGACTCCCCGGCATATATTGGGCATCCAGTGATGTTTATTGGGTTAATTAATATTGACTTGTGCCCAGAATGTTATAGTATCAATATTCTTTCCTAGGAGTGTTCCTATTAACCATATCAATACTTCTCTCCCAGTCCAGTTCTCACCACCTACCCAGCCATGAAGCTATATCACCACCCTAACCTACTCTCGAAACACCCAAGTACAAGGAAGACTAGGTAATGCCCTGAGTGTTGTTTTTGCTTTTATGCTTGATCCCACACTTTTGTCAGTCTTGTGGCCATAGGGAGGATGAATGTGGTCTGACGAAGCCAGGAGCAACCGGGGAATCTGTAGGCAAGCAGTGTGATGTGCTTGAAAGAAAATGGACTTTGAGTACAGCGAAACTTAGGCACAAACCCCAGCTTCATACTTCTCATTGGTGTGTGGTTTTAAGCAAGTTATTTCACCCCTCTGAACCTCAGTTTTCTCAGCTGTAAAATGGGGGTAAGAATGCCTACATTCCCCCATTCTCAGAAAAGAACGATTCCTTCCTTATTAATAAAAACATGCTTTTCCCCCCAGTGAACTTCATACTTCACTAGCTCTTCTCATGCTCTTTTATCAACTGTTGTTCATTGCATGATTCTCTTGGCAACAGACCAGTGCCACCATGGCAGTTTTATATTAAAGGGTGTGATTTATAAAAACAGAACACAGAAATAAAACTATGTTTAAGAAAAAAGGAGAATACTTACCATCCAGAATTATTTTAATGATTCAAGATAGTGTTTGGCGCATATAGTAGGTACTCATAATCTTAGCTATCATTATCAACCATCTCAGGAATGTGAGAATGCTTGGAGATCATTAAAGGGTTCTGCGTAAAGCCTGTGATAGTGGGATCGCTGAAGGTCAGGTCCAAGGAGCTGGTGCTGGAGAGGGGAGCTGCCCAAGGGCTTCCACTAATACCCCCTTTCCTGCCACCATCCCCCGACCTCCAAGAGGCAAGAAACACCTAGAATATCTAGATGCAGCTAGTACTTTAGCATTTTTACTCCCATCATCTCTGGAAGTCTCTCTAACACCCCTGGGGGGTAGGCAGGGAAGATATTATTATCCCTACTTTACAGATGAGGAAACAGAGGCCTTGGGAGGGGAAGAGAAGGACTTGCCCACGGTCACATGCTCATAAGTGCCAAGGCTGGGCCTAGAATCCAGGTCTCCTGACAGCAACTGTATATATAAGTTAAAGATTGGAAGAGGATGGAAGGTGTGAGAGAGGTTAGAGGCTCATGTTCCTTGGATTTTCCTTTCCTTTTTTTTCCTTTGCGTTAGTTGTATGAATATTTTTAGAAAGTTCTAGTTTCAAGAAGAGTGAACAAATAGCTAACTGTGTGGAGCACAACAGTGGACCC